ATTTATTCACTCTTAAAACATCTTCTGAAGCTTGAATATTCGCACTATGTGTTATCTTCAGATTATTTATTGTGTCAGACTACTTCGTCTACTTGGATGTCACTCTTTTTCTATCTAGCTATACTTTGTGTAGTATTCTGAACTGTGACCACTTGACGTGATGCGTGTGTGTGTGAGGTTCTGTGTGGGTTTCGTCACTCATTTTCTATTTCTCCCTCCACCATATACCTTTTTCCACTGTATTATGTACTTTTTATCCTCTTTTTCTGTATGTATGTTACCTCGAAGTGATCCACTTGTTTTCGAGGGTCTGCCTTGATTTGTTCGTATTTTGATCTTGAATTTGTGAGCACTGCACCCTTAGCGGATAATTGGCGGCTTCGAATACGGTTCCATTTATCCGATATCTGGGCAGCAAGTTAGCACTATCACCTCTCACAGTCGGTTTGTCTTACTATCTGCTTCCCCATGGCACATTATCTTACTGTGAAGTGCTTTCTCAACATTGGCGAATGTATGTTTGCACTCTGCCTCTCATTTGAAACTTTAGCAATGACTGGAATTTGTTGTGTTTTAATAGTTGCCTCAGTGCTGGTGACGTTATTCTACATAAAATTTCTTATCACATACTGAAGGTCAGATAGAACAATCTGTTTTACTTTCAAAACTTTCAAAGTTAGACTAATTGTAAATTCTCCAGTGTACTTTAGTTCCATGTGAGGAGATCTGCTGTATATTTGTGAGATGTGACCTCTCCTGACTGGAAAGTTCTAGTCACTTTGTGATGATTTGTGTTTCCGTATGCTTGCTCGTATCCAACGGCAACTTTTGACTACTTTTCATGTTCAATGTTGTGGTGAGACATGAGATAGATAGATCCCTAAGGAACGAGTGTTATCACCATGGTAAAATTAACTTATTTGGTTTGGATATCATTTGCAAATACTGTCATATTGGCTTTCGCACTGATTATTGTAGCAATGGGTAGCAATGAAAGGAGTGTATACACACAGTGCATGTCATTGAAGGTTCCTTACTTGAATTTGTGTAACGATTGGTCAATAATTGTAGGAGGTATAAGAATGTTTAGAGCTTTCGTCCACTGTTGCATTCGTAGCTTATGACCGATAGTCTCTACCTTGACGTGGTGGTCGAGCTTGTATGCCACAGTAAACTATGTTGACCGGAACGCTTCCTCACTTGAGAACCTGCCATACCAGAAAGGTCTGTTGAACAGTGGTGAAACAAAAAGACAGTTACCATTATCGTGTAAATCCCTTGACCATGATGTGGTCTGAGGGCGAAGTCGTACTGCTGGTTGAACGGGAGTGTGGCAGCAGGAAGATGTTTTCCGTGAATGGTCACAAGTGCCACACTGATGCTATCTTTCCTATAGGAAGAGGGCAGGTTAGAAAACATCAGGCTCAGAAATCACATATTCCCATCACCCCACGGCATATGGACCACTGAGACATTTGTTCATAGTCGAATTCGAAAGCAAAAGCTGAACTCTCGAACTTACTAAAATGTCTTACGTGATCGGTTTCGAGCAGATATCCCATGGCTCTGTTGTCACGCATTAACCCTTCCATTTCAGGTACCTGAAGAAGAAATAGACTGTCATGATGTGGGTAACCGGGACGAGTCAACCGCCCTCACAACTTTGTCAGCACTCTACTTCCTTAAGATTACTGACCTTCTTTCAGCTCTGCAGCTCTTGACACTAATATGAGTCCATGGAAGAGCATCACTGGCCTCCTGAAACCGCGCTTCAAACTACCACTTGGCACTTTCAACGTCCTCACCCTCCGTCTAATCAGCCAACAAGTTTCGCTAGCTGAAACTAGCATCTCAAACCATAGACGTGTGCTGTGTTTGTAAAACACATCCAGTATTCAAGTGCTCTTATTCACTTAACCTCACTCGGGGAGTATGGCGAATTCGAGTTATTTGGAGATTGAATGACAGGTGTAGGTACAGCATTAGGAGGTGAGACAGGAAGTCCACTGCTCAACTAGATCCCAGCCGACAGTTCTCTGTACACTGTTCGACTGAACAGCACAGTAAGGACTAAAAAGAACAGTAAGAATAGTCATTGTCTCATCATAATCTCTGCTTACGTGCCCACTGACTGCAGTTCAGAAGAAGTAAAGGATTAGTTCTACTGAAAACTGTCTAACCTCCTACTGAGAGCGAAACCTCCATACATAGTTGTTATTGTTGGTGATTTCAGTGAACAGGTGGGTAGGCCAGGTCAGACACAAAAGGCATTTCAGTGGCAGTTTCAGAATCTCAACCAGCTGAACAAAGAGATAATGATGATCGCCTAATATGACTGTGCTCAAACAACCACCTACTTCTGACCAGCACAAACTTCAGTTATAATGAGAGACACTACACAACTTCTCGGTGGACAGAAATGGACCACACTACTATCAGTCATCACTGGAGTGGCTCGATTTCGAGATTCCACTCCTTCAGGAACACTAGTCAGGACAGTTACTACGCGTTGGTTTGAGGGTGTGTATGTCTGCATGTCAATGGACGTAGGAAAACTTTAGTAACAACACGATTAAGAGTGCAGATGGACAATGGGAGCAGAAAGGTCTTTCACAGTGGGAAACTGGCTCTACAGTTTTCGGAACACAGCAATATCACTCATCCAGAAGAAGCTTTGTACCATCTTCAGTCTGCTGTAAAAACAGCAATAATGGCCATAACCAACTCTCAGAGCATGGTTATAAAAGACTGGTGGATCCTATCAGCTCCTCTTCAACTAATGGATGTACACGAATGAATGTTTGTAGACTTCGACTACAAGAGTAGTGGAAGTAACTGAAATATAAATTGACAAAAGGGGGTGAGTAGTGAAGGCTAAAGCGATGGAAAAGGCTCGCGCAATAGGTGACAAGAGATAGTAGTATACGCTAGCAAAGAAGCCTTGCTATGCTCGATTGTAAGATGAGATTATGAAGTCCGAAATTAGGTAAGAGATAGCTGAGCATTTATCTGAACATAACCAGGAATCCTCATCTTGAGGAAACCTGACGTAATCTAATATCTGCTGTAGAAATTGCATTAAGGACAATTAGTAACCAACATACACATGAAGGTTATCAAACATCATTGGATTTCCGTGATGTCATCCGAACTGATTGATGTGAGAAGACTGACTCCATCTGTGTGTGACCACGACAAAGAGTGAAAATAACTCAAATGTATGTTGACCACGAGTAGTGGTGAGTGGGGAAAATGACAGAGATGGAGAAGGCATCAGTGTTGGGTAACACTCGGCAACAGTTTAAGCTTATTGAGGATATAGACAAGAAGAAGGCGATAGTGAGTGGAACGGTCACTGTAAAGGATGGGACACTGATAAAGTCTCAGGATAGGGGGCTAGAACGTTGGGCAGAACACTTAGAAGGACAGTTCAACTGGGCCTCAACAACGCATCAGTTGCCCAACATCTAGCCTCAACCCTAACGACCAGTGGTTGACACTTCCCATACTTCTTGACCTAAAGGCATCATTTGACTGTCGATGGTGAGGTGTTGTTACAGTGTCTGACTGTACAGAGTACGTATGTAACCCTAATCAAAAGCTGTCGACTCGGACTCACATAACCGTGTAAGGGTTTATGGAGAGTTGTCTTCAGGAATGATGGCAGTTAGTTGTGTGTGCCAGGGATGCCTACTGTCACCGCTTTGATTTAACGTCGTCCCAGATGTACTAGTTCAGGTATTTGTGACTTCACTGAAACCGATCTACTCGTTAGGGGCCATCTGATTGACTTGGAGTATGCAGACGATATTGTGCTGCCAGGTGAAGACGCTGACAAAATACAGAGTTTCCTGGATGCATTGAGTAGAAATGTGAGTATGTTTGGGTTGTGTGCTGCTGTCATCTGTCAAATGTAAGTTGGTGCACCGGGACTGGTCTGCTGCAAATGCTCCCAGTTTAATGATAGTGAGTCGGGTAATGAAATTGTCGACCACTTGACTCTATTTGGAAGTTGCATTAGTCCGAACAGGTTGGTCGCTGGCGAAATCTCAACTCAGATACACAACGCCCCATTAGCATTTCGCAACTTGTGGCACCCAATGGCGAGATATTCAACTATCTATCAAAGGACGACGATACTGCACTGCAGTCCATTCTGTCCTCTTGTATGACTGTGAGATATGATTGTTAAGTGTACAAGACACGAATCGACTTTATGGTATTGGTTATAGGTGTTTTCGTAGGATTGCTCACGTTTGGTGGAATCACCGTGTGAGCAATGTTGAAGTCAGGTGTAGGGTGATAGACAAGACAGGCGAGTCGAATGATGAGGTTGTGAACCTTCATCGACTGAGATGGTTTGGACATGTACTACTTATGCCTATCTACCACCTAGCTACCTTGACGTCCCATATTACGGCAAGCTGGATTAGTTTGGAAGAGGGTTCAAGGTGGCGAGACCAAGACGTGATACCAGTCGATGAAGTTTCCAACTGTTGTTCCGAGCCATGTGGAGAGATGTAGACTTCCTCATTGGGGTCGAGGGAACGAAAAGAATCAATGGTTGAGGACTCTTGGTGACATGGCTGTAAGTCTGTGGCAGTGGTGCGGATTTATTCACTCTTAAAACATCTTCTGAAGCTTGAATATTCGCACTATGTGTTATCTTCAGATTATTTATTGTGTCAGACTACTTCGTCTACTTGGATGTCACTCTTTTTCTATCTAGCTATACTTTGTGTAGTATTCTGAACTGTGACCACTTGACGTGATGGGTGTGTGTGTGAGGTTCTACGTCGATGTTTTAAGTTAGTGAGTGAGTTGTTCGCTTCTACGTTGGACGGCGTCGAGCACCTTTTGTGAAAATCGTCTTGGTACATACCTCTTATGAGCAATACTATCAAGGCTTTTAATGAATTTTTCGATTGAATCTGTTGCATAGTGTGTAGTTACTTGTCTTCTGTCTGTTTCATTATAACTTATATTCTACTTTCTTTCAGACGGATGTTGACTTCAGTTGAAGTCAGCTCTCATTCGCATCCTCTAAAATGGGAGGATTTATCTGTGGAAATTTATTCCAAAGCAGAGTGTGTCCGTGCATTGAACAGCTTATCACCTAGTCTACGACAAACTCAACTGAATTTCTCACCAAATGAAATCAAGATATGTAAACAATCCAAGATCTTTGATCAAAAGGAACTATTCAAATCAGAGGATCATGGATATCATTCATCGTTTGCGGATCATAATTTCTCAAAAACGCCTATTAAACAAGAACCATTGACTTCCGATATTGTGTCTACTCAGGCCTTAAATCAAAGTTCAAATGTTTCAACTAGTCCTCGAATACTCAAACAAACTACATTGACTGGAAGTATAAGTCCACTAGCGGAAAATGCATTTAAGAAACCTCCTACCAGAAGGAAAAAAGTCAGCGGTACTTCGAAAAAGTAAGTTTTTTTCCATTGTTGTTAGATGGTGTGTGTGTGTGTGTGTGTGTGTGTGTGTGTGTGTGTGTGTGTGTACAAGAGGTGTTGGGACTCATGAAACGTTTCAGCTACCCAACGTAGAATAGATTTGAAGGTGTAACCAAGTTGATGAGATGTGTGAACGCAACAACCTGTATCGCGAACCAACGTCAGCCTCACTGTGTAGTCTTTACTTGGAGGCTAAAGAAACCAAGCTGAAACATGGCTCTAACTTACTAGGGCCACTAAATGAATTGATAAATTATGCACTGACTAAGCATAAATTCCTGAATACAACTTAAGTAAAGCTTATAACTAGAAATTTGTTATCATTATGAAAGAAAGTGAACTCTGGGTAATCAGGTAACACTATTAACCCTCATGTACAAGACATCCAATGTGTAATTCGCAGCTTTACACACCGATGTGTATCTGAATAGTGAATTTCATCGTATCACATTACTGAACAATTTTCTAGTGGCCCTTATTTATTGTGATTATTGGATAATCAATCATACGCCCTACACCTGATGAGTGCTAAGTAGTGAATAAGTCTGCACTTCTTTGATAGATTTTCAGACATGTCACCATGTCAACCACTGATTTCTTTCGTCTCATAGACCTCATCCAGGCAGTCTGCATCTCTCAACACTACTCAGAACTTTATCGAGTAATACTACGTCTTGGTCTCGCCACCTTGAACCCTCTTCCAAACTAATCCAGCTTGCCGTAATATGGGACGTCAAGGTAGCTAGGTGGTAGATAGGCATAAGTAGTACATGTCCAAACCATCTCAGTCGATGAAGGTTCACAACCTCATCATTCGACTCGCCTGTCTTGTCTATCACCCTACACCTGACTTCAACATTGCTCACACGGTGATTCCACCAAACGTGAGCAATCCTACGAAAACACCTATAACCAATACCATATAGTCGATTCGTGTCTTGTACACTTAACAATCATGTTTCACAGTCATACAAGAGGACAGAATGGACTGCAGTGCAGTATCGTCGTCCTTTGATAGATAGTTGAATATCTCACCATTGGGTGCCACAAGTTGCGAAATGCAAATGGGGCGTTGTGTATCCGAGTTTAGATTTCGCCAGCGACCAACCTGTTCGGACTAATGCAACTTCCAAATAGAGTCAAGTGGTCGATACATTCCGCATTATCAAACTGGGGAGTACTTGCAGCATCATGAATAGGTAGTTGGATATCGTGGTTCACCGTATTTGGACTCTTATTTATTGCTATATGAAATCTTCAATAAGAGAGATATTTTACTGTTGATTTTGAATGTGACTGGTCCCGTAGATGATATGACCCAGGAGTTGTCCATCGGGAAAGATGAAAAATTAGGAGATGAGCGAAAAAAGTTCAGTGTTCAGTTGAAGAGAATATGACACTGGTGAAGGATTATGAGCGGTCAATGCTTACTATAGAAGGTACTTATCAGAGAGAATAATTTCATAATTGATACTTCATTGTATGAGTCTATTCTTTATCACCTCTAGGAGTCGGTAAAGCAGCATTGTTGAATGTGTTACTTTCATCTGTCAGGTGTGTAATGACAGTTTTTAATCGACACTAAGGAAACACTCTTCATTGGATATTGAATACTGTCTTATAGCTTGTTCATCTGCGTAGTTGATTGGAATGAATTATTCGGCTAGTATTGGTAGATAGGCGGCATACTCCTGTGGGGTATGCGATGTAATATTCCCCGTATTTTCAAACTCCATAGTAGCAAGTGATAGAATCGAAGATGCACGTTTCGTCCTACTTGGGACTTGTCAGGTATATGTATGTGCCTGCCTCCGAGTGAGTGATGTTTTCCCCACTACGACTCAAACCTTGGACCAATCGCTTCATTTCGATCTAATCAAAGATGGGGATTCATAAACCATAACATCGAAGACTATACTATGCTCCTCGTACAATTGGTGATTATCGTGACATAGTGGTCTAGTGGGTGGCGATCTGGCGTTTGAAGCAAATTAATGCTGGGTTCAAGTTTTAGTGGCGACAGCACCATCCACTGGTAGACAGGTACACCCAGCTGGTGAGTCCCAAATAGGAAGAAACACGTGTCCTGGATTCCATTACTACCCACTATCCATCGCTGATATTGAGTGAGTACTCATTACAAAGCACTTCATCAGTTAATCTTCTATACAGAGGTAATCTGTTGACTGACAACTATTTGATATTGTTCTACGGTCCTGGCTTTCTGCATTCCCCACTATCGTCGTCACTCAGGAGTTATCTTCGGTAATCTAACTGCTGATAACACTATCTAACGATTGCAGTATGAATGAATGTTTAGATCAGTAGTTGAAAGAACCTATAGCCCAGTCTCACGTTGATCGTATTCTAGAACCTCAACGACTAGGATTATGCTGTATGCATTTTGCAGGAATCGATCACTAGATGGTAAACTGGTCCAACTGTCTAGTCTATCCTTGGTGGTTAGCAGTGATAAAAGTCTATCAGTCAATGTTGTAGTGTGGTCACTTGACTTGGATAATCAATATTGTGTTACAATGGATTTCAATGTTAAGTATTAAAACTTAGTTGACAAGAAACCTATGACCCTCTGTTGATTTCGACTGTGTACACAGGTGAGCTGGTCGTGACCTCAATCATCTCGGAGCGAATTCACAGACTTCAGGAATAAAGTAGGGAGATTTGAGTTTTTAGCGTCAGTTAAGTCTCTTCAAGCGTCACCGAGAACGGTACCTAACTGCAGACTTTGCTATCCATAGACTCCAAAAATCTTCCACGAAATTGAACACTGTACAAATTGATTCTTTTGGTTGTTACCACAATACAATAGATAGTTGTGCCAACTAATTGCTTTCTAGTTAAGTAAATAAATGGCCACTTACTCACTCACTGACCAAATATTTTCTTCAAAGAAACTTCGTATAGTATGTACTATTTACCATCACAGGGTAGATTCTAATGAGTCAGGGAATTGTAGATTTTGTGATGTATTGGAGTTGTTTTTCCCGTTTGAGCATAAGTTGACGTTGAAATGGAGACTGGTAATGAGTTGGTACGCTGAAGGTTGAAAATATTGATTTATGAGTGAAGAAGTGAAAAGTGCCTGGAGTAATTTAACCAACTGAAGGTTGTTTTGTAGCGAAATGGATGTTCGATAGTTGTGGATAATTGATTGTGTGAAGCCTAATCTATGTTAGTGGACTGTAGATTGAGTTGTTCAGAGGGATTCATAGTGGATTTGATGGATGTTTGATGCATGTTTGCCTTGTGTATCAACTTGAGAAGTGGTTTAGAAAAACAAATTGAGCAGAATAAAATCTTATGGTTTCATTTTGTCAGGTTCTCATCAGCTGCTAACAACAACAACAACAACGACCTATGAAACCATCAGTATGTGACTGGAATGGAGAGTTTACCACATGTGAGTTGATCACCAATCAGTCAGTTGGTGGACACGTTCAACATGTAAGTGGGGGGAGGGGGTGGGGGGTGGATAGTAAAGTTGTCAGTCACATGAATGTAGGTGAAGACGATAAGATATTTGATTATGAGAAGATTGTTGTGCAATGGAAGTTGAATTTTGAAAAGAGATTTCGTGTAATTGAATTCAATGGTGAAGAAGAGAGGAGGTGATAGCTCAGTGGAGAAATTCTTTCTTTATCGACGACATCATTTCCTGTAGCTGTACAATCAATCGTATTCATGTATATATATGTGATGCAGATATAACGGTGTATGTTATCGACCAACAGGGTATATATAGTTAGGTCATTAGGGTAGATGATGTTCAAAGTGAAATGAAGAATGTAGAGTGGTTGTATAATAATCTTCTAGATAGTGGGAATAATGAGGGTGGTGGGGGATACAGTTTGATAAGGTGGGAATTGTTGTTGAATGTGAGATTGAATATCGACTTGGTGTAAAGAAGGTGGTGTATGGGGAAACACAAGGGTTATAATGAAGAGGTGATAATAGTCAACTAATTGATTATAATGAAATTGAAGTAAAACTGTTAAATTGTTAATATCATTGTAAGATAAGAGATTGAGCAGACTTTTTGTGTACAGAGTGATCAGATTTGAATTGGTGAATTACTAGTGGTTCTACCGTAGTGCACAACTGTCGAAAGCGTACACCTTCTGATTGGAGTATTCCCCTTGACTATGTAGATGAGACTGAAAGAGGATTGTGGTGGAGCTACATGTCCAGAGTTGGCTAAATATTCCAAATTTGAACTGGCAATTGATTTGCGTTGTGTCGTCGACCACCGTATAGAATAATATTCATCCATTGATGATTCAAAGAGTAATTACTGGAGGGTAATCAATTTGATGTTGTGTAGTCCTGAGTGTTGATCGACTTCAATCGAAGTGGATTGGGATGTTGAGGTGGCTGCCTAGTCTGGTGGCCAAATTGCAAGATGATCGACAGAATTCGATGATCACTGAAGTTAGTTGACTGTCCTCCAGTGACCATTCAATGTGCCTGATGCAGTTCTACAGGAGGTCACTGTTAGCACAGCTAGCCCAGTGGTAGCATCTTTGATCTCAGCATTAGGTGACAAGAGTTTGGATGCCAGGCAGAATATCAGTTTCGCTGAGGTCGCAGATGAGTACCACTTGACATTTAGCAATTGATAATAACTGGAATTCAGAGTTAGTGTAAAACAAAGGAAATGTGAATTTGGCGGTAAATGGAGATTTATTGATTGCAAGTTGGTATTCATCCTGGGCTGACACCAACTTGGAGAATTATCAAAAAACTGAGAGTTGTGGAGAGCTGCTCCTTCCTAGTATGCAACTCCTGAGTAGTAGTTCTCGCCCATGATTGTGTCTACCAGGGGTCGAAGCGAAACAGTGTGTACAGGTTTTTTGGGAAACATGAATTGAGAGTAATCGAAAAATCTGAAGCATCGGTCTCTGTTCTATTGTGTGCATGGTAAGGTATTTGTCTTGAAAGCCAAGTGTTGTGCGAGAGTTTGATGGTCGATGGGTTGGTGAGGGGGAAGTGCTGTTCCATTGTGCAACCTCTTGATTCCTATTTCTTCAAGGAAGCGGAGAAAATCAAGGCTGTTCAGTCTTTTAATTATTTGTTGATGATTCCTTTACAGCGTTTAACCGATGTGTGAACTTCTGTGTCGACTTTGTTTATGTTTATTGGGAGAAAACAGAATGTCACCGTGTTGAATAATTACCAATTGAGAGACAAATTGGATTCCTTAACTGACAGACTTTGATCAACACTGATAATTTAGATTTCATCTAATCGATATGTTTTTTTCACTATTTAGTCATATCATAGTCTGACAAGCTGATTTTGCATTTCCAGTTGTTTGATTTAGATTAGTTACATTTTAGGCATGATCGCACTTGGTGTGAATTAAGATTCCTGCAAGTAATTGATATAAGAAGTAAAGACTGACTGGAGGTACCATCCTATCGCCTAGTCACCAGTGGTTATCCTACAATGCATTTGATCTGTTGTAATAAAAATGGCGGAGAGATAATTTGAATAGCTAGTAGTACAATGCAAGATGGACGTTTCATGTGGTTTGGGAGTGTTGAACAGCAGACGACATTTGGGTGGGACGAAACACTGGTGGACTGTATTCCACTGGTAAACACCAAGAAGATTAAAATAAATGATGAGTTTGTAGGGAGTATGGAGGCATCTGCCTGCATATTAGGGAGCCCATCTATCAACAGAAGTTGAGCAATTCGATGTTGTATAGCAACGGGAAGTTTCATGTATATATGAAAATGAATGAATGGCTGTGTTGTTTTCTAAAAATAAGTCTGTTTAAAACAGCAGGTATTAAGTGGCAGGTAGGAGAAAGTTTAATTCGAAGGTTTTATATGAACTTTTTTGAACTATGTGACACCAAGTGTGATGCAGCATCATATGATTTCGTCGCTTACCAATACAGAGGCGTGAGGTAAGTGTTACCACAGCGTATACCAGAGTATGTGATGTGGGTGTTTTAAAGCACTAGCTTAATGGATATCTGTCTGGTATTTGAAACAAGATATGTATTTATTGATATTTATTTGTCCATTGGGTTCGTAATGAAACATAGGGCTTCAGTAACACGTCACCATTTCACTCTCTTGTCTGCAGTCTTCTTTCTTAACCTGTCTCCACGACTCCCCAGAGGCTTTCATCTCTTCCTCACACAATCTCCTCGATGTCACCCTCTGGTGAGACGTCGAACTCGTCGTTTCCGATTTTGGTTCTACTCAACAGCCTGACGTGGCCTTGCCTTGTGGGACGCGTGATGTTCTCAAACCGTCTTTTTAGTGTATGTCTAATCCAATCCAATGGATCTCCACGTTGTTCCTCTGCATACACGTTGGATGATAGCTTCTTTGTCGGTTAGTCGGTCAACAGCCAGCCAGAATGAGTTCCTTGTTGCTCATTATTCTCGCCATCTGATCGACCTTCAGTATCGAGTGAGGGTAGACGGCAGCTGTTCAGCATGTATGTGTGCAGTTTGTGAGAAATGCTTTTCGTAACACGCCAAGTCTCTCAACCATCAGAAGGAAGCACTGACTTGCTTGAGTGAGTGAGTGAGTGTTGAAGATCTGGATGTTGTTCTCACTTTATGCTGAGTGGAGTGCAGTGCAGTAGATCTCTCCTCACTAATTTCAGATTAATGAAGAATGGCTTGTGTTTCTTTCTGATCGTGGCTTCGATATCCTTATGTGTGCTGCTGCCTGTAGTTGAAACGATGCTGAGATGTAGGTGAAGGAGACTACTTCATTTAGGTTTCTGTCTGCAGTTGACGGTGATTGGTGTTTGTTGTTGGTTGAATATCTTCATCACCTGTGTCTTCTGTACGTTCAGCTGAAGAAATAAGAGGTGTGGGAATCCATTAAAAGCATTTATGTTCATCCAGCTGACAAGTCGAAAGAGGAAGTGAAACACTTCAGCAGCATTTCATTACCTGTAAGTAATGAATAATGCTAAAATCGATAGAATTCTGTTGATATAGGTAACTGAACATGAGGAGATTGTTGTGAATTATTGACAGTTACGTAATAGTAGACATTTGACATGATGACATGAATAAATTGGAATCGTGTATATCAAATACTGATCTATCGAAAAGTGTTATGGCAATGTGTGTCACTGAAAGACGTGCCGAGTAAATACATCACCTTATTGATGACTCTCTCCACTGTACTCGAACACTTGTGGGTGTGTTAGAGCCTATGGTGAGATGTGTGGGGAGCTGTACTTGTCAATTGGTGTGTGCCAAGGGTTTTCATTGTCTTCATTCTTATTCAATTTGATGATAGATATTCCTAAGGATGTCTCCCTTTCTTCACCTGATTACACAGACGTTGACCTAATCGGTAGAGATGGCATGACATAGTCCTGATACATAGTCTTCTGAACACTTTGATTTGAAATTTGAGATTGTTACCTTATGCATATAATTATTTTGACTCCTTTTTTGTTGTTGTTGTTGTTGTTTCGCTTTTCTTCATGACTATTATTAAAATTACAGGTCCCAAGTTAAACGTTCACACAGTGTTGATTCATCCAGCCGTCAAGGTGAATACACTAATCCATATGAAACACGCAAATGTAAATCAACAACTGTCAGTCCGAAGAAAAATGTTCGCTTAGCTGATCAGCATTTAGATAGTATTCAACAGAATAAAGAGAATAAGAGTAAATCACAATTTCAAACACAACTAACATCATATGGGATACGTAGAACAGCTCGTCAGTATGCTAAAGAAATTGAAGTAAGCCTTTCGTTTTGTATAACTTTACTATGGCTACATGTTTTCATACTGTACATTTTGTGTATTACTCACCTTTGATGTGATACTTCAGTTGTTGTATTCCTTGATATAAATACTCGTCTGTGAATGCATTCCTTAGACATATTGAAAGGTGTAGGCTTTTTAGTTAGATTCCCCTTGATAACTAAATCATCATTATCCAGATCAACATAGGACTAAGGCATTATTGCGTAACGGTCCGAGTTACCACAGCTCAGTACAGTGCATCAATTAGAAAGGTAGTGAAGTCACAAGAAATATAAAGTACGAAAAGAGAGAAAGGAAGAATGAGAAAATGATGAGATTCGGTATAGCGTGGTTAACATGAGGATATTGTGTATGGGCATACATCTGCGCCACTGACATCGGTTCTGAGCCATGCCATCACCTAGAGTCAGTGTCCAGCCACTGGTTCCTCTTATCCCGTTGACCCCAACCACCTAATCTGCATCACCCCACATGTCTCAAACCAACAGTCAGAGACTTCATACATTGGTGCCATGTTTTAGTCTGGCCACCTCGGACCTTTTTACAGCCTGGATCCACCTCAGCCAACATTGTGTGACGAGACAATCGACGACTAGGCATACGTAGTACGTGTCCCAACCATCCCGGTCGATGAAGGTTCATACCCTTGTCGACTGATTTACCTCTGCTCTATAAAATTCTATACCTGACTTATGCATTACTCATGTAGTGACACCACAGAATACGGCCTATACTACGAAGGTAACGGTGGTCAAACACCTGAAGGCAGCCTTCTCATGTCTTCCACTTTCAATGGCCATGTTTTACAGTCATACCAGTAGAACAGACCGGACTGCTGTACAGTACACGCGACCCTTAATAGACAAACGGATATCACGGCGACACCATAGGTAGCGTAAATTGGCAAAAGCCAACCGAGCCTTTTGTATCCGTGCAGAGATTTTGTCGGCTGGTCCTACTTCTCAGGTAAGTGAAGTGGTTGACCCACTCAACCACTCTCTATTGTTAACCGTGGCAACTCTGAAGACCAATCCTAGAGCAAAAATTTGCATTTGGGTGGTGAGAACCGCATTCCAAACATTCTCAAATTCTACCCAAAGTGTTCAGAAGACTGTCTGACTGAAGCTTTAAACTTGACTTGAACATCGCTTACTATTCAATAACCTTAATACATGTTAATGAAAGTGATTGAGACCCTTAAGGCTGATTATATCACCAACCATCCTTTAAACATCACATCGACATCTTGTTCCTTGTTGCTCTGGAATACTCAGTCTTTCCTGAGGATGTGAATCAGTCAGTTGGTTAAGCAATTTCGATATGGTACATCACTGAAAAATTCCTTACAGTACATCAACATAAAACGCAACAATTCAAAGAAAGTCAAGAGGAAGTAAACAGGATAAACAAAAGCCATAAAAAGAGTACAGCATGTAACCAAGTACCACATAATAGTCAAGATGAAGATAATTTGTGGATGCATCCCCACCTCTATGATCTATTCTGAGCCATTTCACGCAGACTTTCCAATCAACAGTTTTAGTTATCTAGTCGCCAATTTCCTTATCACACAACGTTGGCTGAAGTAGGCCCAGGCTGAAAAAGGCCCAAGGTGACCAGACTAAAACATTGCACCAATGTATGAAGTCTTTGACTGTTGGTTTGAGCCATGTGGGATGGTGCAGATTAGGTGGTTGGGGTCGGCGGGACAAGAGGAACCAGTGGCTGGAGACTGACTCTAGGTGATGGCATGGCTGAGAACCGATGTCAGTGGTGCAGATGTATACACACACACATTATCCTCACCTTAACGACGTTATATCGAATCTCATCATTTTCTCATTCTTCCTTTCTCTCTTTTCGTACTTTATATTTCTTGTGAGTGAATTTTCTTTTCTTCATCTTCCACTTCACTACCTTTCTACTTGATGCACTGTACTGAGCTGTGGTAACTCGGACCGTTATGGAGTAATGCCTTAGTCCTATGTTGATCTGGGTGATGATAGGGATAATGATGACAGACTACCACACTTCCCAGTAGCATACAAGCAACAGGTGGTTAGAATATGAATGACATCAAAGTAGATGCAGTTGCATCAGAGAATAAGCAATTTGAATATTACGGTTAGTTTAAAAGATCTCCAGGAGTGAATAAATCAGCGCAATTTTCACCGATTTTCAATCAAGTCACCAACAGTTCTCAACCACCCCAACTAGGTAGTCGACATCTCCCTATGTCTTGGTCTGACCATCCTGAAACCCCTTCCAACCTAATCCAACGTGTCGTAACATGGGACGTCGAGGTAAGCAGTGGATAGACATATGCAACACATGTCTAAACCATCTCATTCGATTAAAATTGACGACTTCAATCGACTCGCCTGTCTAAGTCTAGCACACGGTGATTCCATCAAACGTGAGCAATCCTACGAAAACACTTATAACCAAAAACCTTAGAATTTTCACTTCCAAATGTTATTCTTATGTCAACCTTACTGTGAATGCTACTCAGTGTTTGTGATACTCCTTCTGTTTATGTGGCAACGCTATAGACGTGTTAAATGGCATTTTACTCCTGTTGGTATCATTGTTCACATCACTGCCTCTATCTTTTTCATCCAGCCTCATGAATTGGCTGAATAAATTTAGGAGTACAGTGATGTATATATATATATATATATATATATATATATATATATATATATATATATATATATATATATATATATATATATATATATATTTGTCCGTTAGGTTCCTAATGGAACATAGGGCTTCAGTAACACGTCTCCAGTGCACTCTCTTCTCTGCAATCTTTTGAACGTGGTTCCACAACAGCCTAGAAACTCTCATTCCTTCCTCACACCATCTCCTCCTTCATGTTACCTTCACCCCGGACGCCCAACTCGTCGTTTCCCATCTGGGTTCCACTCGAGTACCTGGTCTGGCACGTGATGTCCCCGAATGGTCTTCTCAGTGCATGCCCAATCCCATCCATCTTCACTTCCTTCTTCTACAAATTTCTTGGACGATAGCTTCCTGCTTGGTTGGTTCGTTGCCAGCCAGCCAGCCAGCCAGCCAGCCAGCCAGCCAGCCAGCCAGCCAGCCAGCCAGCCAGCCAGCCAGCCAGCCAGCCAGCCAGCCAGCCAGCCAGCCAGCCAGCCAGCCAGCCAGAGTGAGTTCCTTGTTGCTTATTCTTATCATTCTGAGCATCTCATCGATGTTCAGAAAGGAGACAGCGTAGTCGGCAGTTGTTGATGAATATGTGTAGTTTGTTGGAAATGCCTTTGGTAACTCGCCGCCAAGTCTCTCAACCATCACATAGAAGCACTGACTTGACTGATGTTGGTGTTGAAAATGCGGATGTTGTTGATGCTTTATGCTGAGTGGAGTGCAGAAGATCTCCATACTGATTTCAGGTTAATGAAAGCCTGTCTTGCTTTCCCGATGCTGACTGGCTTTGACGTCCTCGTCTGTATCTGTGCTGCCTGTATTTGAAACAGTGCTGCCTAGTTAGGTGAAAGAGGTTACTTCCTGTAATTTTCTCCCGTTGATGGTGATTGGAGCTTGTTCTTCTTCTTCTTTTGTTGTTGTTGTTGTTGTTGGTTGGGTATCTTCATCACCTCTGTCTTCTCTACGTTCACTTGAAGTGTCGTCTTCACTGCCTACCTCTTCTATCAACTTGTTAGATTTTGCCTGTAGATTTTCAAGTTTGTGTGACATTAGACATAAGTCATCATCGACGAAATCCAAATCTTCTAGGTTCTTTTCTGCGGTCCAGTGTATCCCCCGTCTTCTCGCTCCTCATAGTTTGTTGCATGATCCAGTCCACTACAATCAGGAATATCATGGCTGATAGTAGACAGCCACCTTGTCTTACTCCTGTCTTTACTTCAAGGGCACCACTGAGCTTCCCATTGTGAATTACTTGGCATGTGGTGTCTTCATATAGCTGTTGAACGAGGTTGATAAAGGTTTGTGGTATTCCGTAGTGTTGAAGCAACTGTCTGCTAAATTACTTCTCAGTCGACGTTGTCAAAGGCCTTTTCAAGGTAGAATTCTTTCACATGTTTACTTTTTTATTTAAATCTTCTGACGTACTGGTTACATCTCTAACCGTATTATATCAACGTTTAACTTAACCTGCATAAAACGTCTGTTGGTCTCCGTCAGTGATGCCCACTGTCTGTATTCTTGTTCAAGTTTGCTATTGATGTCCTTATGGAAATATCCTTCTCATCATGTGACTGCACAAACATTGAATTGATCACAGGAGAATATTTGGTAGATCTGGAATATTCAGGTGACATAGTCGTGTTAGGTGAAGACGCTGACATAATCTGAGAATGTTTGGGATGCGTTTCTCGTCAACCAAATACAAATTGTTGCTCCAGGACTAGTCTTCGATGGTGTCCCGACTAACAATAGAGAGTGTAATGGTTCAGTGTGTTGACCACTTCACCTACCTGGGAAGTGGGATCAGCACTGATGCATTGATCAGTGGCCGGGGAAATCTCAGCCAAGATACAAAATGCTTGGTTGGCTTTTGTCAACTTACGCCGTCTGTGGCGTCGTCGTGATATCCGATTGTCCATTAAAGGTAGCTCTTACTGCACATCAGTCCGCTCTGTTTTACTCTGTGGCTATGAGTAATGCAGAAGTCAGGTATAGAGTTTTAGGGAGGAGAGGTTCTGAACCTTCATCGACTGAGATGGATAGCTGAGACATATTTTACGTATGCCTAGTCGCCATCTGCGTTACCACACAATCTTAGCCGAAGAAGGTTCAGGCTGGAAAAAGGCTCGATGTATCCAAACTGAAACATGGTATCAATGAATGGAGTAGTCGACTGTTAGTTTGAGCCATGTGGGCGATGCAGATTGGGTGGTTGGGATCCATGGTACAAAAGGAACCAGTGGTTGGAGACTCTAGGTGACGATATGGTTGAGAACCGATGTCAGTGGTGCAGATGTATGCCCATACACATTATCTTAACCGTTTTACTTAATCTCACCATCTTCTGTTTTACTGCTTTCTTTTTTGTTTCTTCATTTCCCATTTTATTGTCTTGTTTACTTGATTCGCTGATATGAGATGAGGTGTGGCAACTTGGATTGTTATGCAATTAATGTCTAGTCGTGCGTTGATCTTGATGATGATGATGAGTGGATACAGAAACATGAATCCCTTGACCTATCAATGATAAGCTTTGCAATCATTGTCCACGTTTTTTGAGGTCAGGATATTCGATTCACTTTGAAATATGCATCCTTTCTATGTATATTTAACCACACGTACATTTCGATTGGGGTATACACTGGGATTTGGCATTGTTGTTCACGTGGTATAAATGTCTAAGAAAAGGTGGTGGTGGTTACCTATTGCCTAACCGCATCATCTTTATACCCTTTTGATAGAGAGATGCAATAAGTCCTTTGCCCAGGGATTGTATTATGAAAATCCCCATTGTATAGAAGCTGGGTGATAAAGTAAAGTGTAGCTTTCGTCTATCTAACCACTTTACACTGAGTAATACATTTTCTGAATGGTAAGTTATTCTTTGATAGTGTTTCAGTCAATATTCTTGTCTTATCTGTGTATATTCCTTGAAATAACCGCTTCGAATTCTCTCCTTGTTGTTATATTGTTTTATTCTAGCGTGAACGTGAGAATAATTTTCTTATCGCATTAAAAAACAATATTGAAACTGGAATGAAGGTAAGCGTATTTCTTTGATTTGATAAGGAGAACAGTTAAATCATTACATAATTCACATTCACATATTTCTGTGTGTATAGTTTTTCAACTTCTTGCTTGACTGTAGTGTTAATAAGGTGATTTCCCCTAGAAATCATCATTCAGCTAAGATCACAATGTGTGATGAATAGGCGAAAAATACTACTTCAACCACTTAAATCGTTAAATATCACTTGGATTGATGTATAGATTAGAATAGTCTAAACACTGGATGGCCCCTCGTTCAAAGCTGAGCTCATCAGTGGTGTACCTAGACAAATGACTGACAAAATCATCGTTGAACATCACATACAAGTACATCAGTCCAACTTGTCATATGGGAGGATAGAAAAAGAGTGATATCGCCGACTGCGATAAGTAGTCTCCCTATATGACTTAGACTAACAGTTAGAGACTTCATCGACTGATAACACATCTTCGTCTGACCACTCCTAACCTACTTCCAAATCTGTCTTGCTTTTCCGATGCTGGCTGGTTTTGACGTCCTCGTCTGTGTCTGTGCTGCCTGTATTTGAAACAATGCTGCCTAGATAAGTGAAAGAGGTTACTTCCTGTAAGTTTCTCCCATTGATGTTGATTGGAGCTTGTTGTTGTTGTTTGTGGCATTGGTTGGGTATCTTCATCACCTCTGTCTTCTCGATATTCACTTGAAGTGCCGTCTTCGCTGCCTACCTCTTCTATTAACTTGTTAGATTTTGCCTGTAGATTTTCAAGTTTGTGTAACATTAGACACAGGTGACACATTTGTTTTTAGAGTAGGGAAAACAGACAGGAGATTATGAAATTAAATGTAATTACGTAATACAGGATAAATGTATTGCAACGTAGGAAACTGAACGAATGGTTATGGAGATAGAATTGCGATTATGTAATACGGGATAAACCTATGACATAGTAGAAAAATGAATAAGAGGAACATGTGCAGTTACCTCATACAAACTGAACCTGTGGCAGACAGCGCTTTATGATGGCCATTGCAAAGATAACGGTTGGACGTATCTTTTTTTGCGCCCATAACTCTGGTTTAAATTTCTGGATGGCTAGTGCTTCAGCTATAGACAAATGTCCACGGACACTACCTAGTCTGGCTTGGAATCGGACTTGACGGCGCGTTACGAAGGGGATTTCCAACAAACTACAGGTATTCATCAACAACTGCCGACTACGCTGGATCCTTACTGAACATCGATGAGATGGTCAGAATAATAAGAATAAGCAACATGGAAGTCACTGTGGCTGGCCGGCAAGGAACCAACCAAGCAAGAAGCTATCGTCCAAGAGATATGCAGAAGAATGAAGTGGAGATGTGTTGGATTGGGCATGCACTGAGAAGACCATTCGGGGACATCATGTGCCAGACCAGGTAGTCGAGTGGAACCCAGATAGGAAACGACGAGTTGGATGTCCGATGTAAGGGTGATATGGAGGAGATGGTGTGAGGAAGAAACGAGAGTTTCTAGGCTGTTGTGGAACCAGGTTAAAAAAATTTCAGAGGAGAGAGTGCACTGGAGACATGCTACTGAAGCTCTATGTTCTACTAGGAACCTAAGGGAAGAAAATAATATTAATAATAAACAGAAATGTGTATTAATTAACTTCTTTTAGTTATTGAATATATTTTGCCCCCCGCGACGGGAAACAATTCTGGAACATTCTGCCCAGTGTAAAATCTATTCACGAATGTACAGCTTAGTAAATGATATCGTCGAATAGAAAAGTGTCTATGTGTTATCTTTTAGGTTAGACGGTGTCAATCCCTAAAACGAATAAGATTTGTTTCATCTCTGTCAGTCATCCACTGATAACGTTTATTCATAAAAATGTCACTTTGTATCGGGAATTGATAAAAGTGGGCTCATATATATGAACCATTAGATTTCAATTCATCCCTTACAAAGAAGCTGAGATGTATATTGCTAAGGTGTATCACACTGGAACGAAATAGTTGTCTAGTGCTTTCAAACTTTCAATAAGTCATCAAATAATATCGATGCATGATGAAAACTGATCTGAATCCAATGAAGCCTTGACATAAAAACTCACCAACTACCAAGCAAATTAATTTTCCAAATAGAATTAACACTTACTTATAAGTAGTACCCGATGACTTGTGCCTGATGTCACACAAACTTGAAGACCTACAGGCGAAAACTAACAAGTTGGCAGAAGAGTCAGCGAAGACGGGACTTCAGGGGAATATAGAGAAGACAGAGGTGATGAAGATACCGCATCAACAACAACAAACTCCAGTCACCATCAACGGGAGAAACTTAAAGGAAGTAACCTCCTTCACCTATCTAGGAAGCACTGTTTCAACTACAGGCGGGACGGACGAGGACGTCAAAGTCAGAATCGGAAAAGCAAGACAGGCGTTCATTAACCTGAAACCAATGTGGAGATCTTCTGCACTGCACTCAGCATGTGGAACAAGATCCGGATTTTCAACACCAACGTCAAGTCAGTGCTTCTGTATGGTTCAGAGACTTGGCGCGTTACGAAAGGGATTTCCAATAAACTACAGGCATTCATCAACAACTGCTACCTACGCTGGCTCGCTACTGAAGATCAGATGGCCAGAATAGTTAGAATAAGCAGGAAGGAGCTCTGGGAATGAACCAAGCAAGAACCTATCACGCAACAAATATGCAGTAGCAGGAAAAGGAGATGGATTGGGCATACACTGAGAAGGCCGACTGAGGACATCACGCGTCAGGCCAGATAGTCGAGTGGAATCCCCATGGGAAGCGACGAGTTGGACGTCCGTGGTGGGGGTGACATGGAGGAGATCGTGCGAGGAGGAAACGAGAGGTTGTGGGCTGTCGTGGAGCCAGGTTGAAAAGATTTCAGAGAAGACAGTTAACTGGAGACATGTTCCATATTCCTATGTTCCACTAGGAACCGAAAGGACTAATAATAATAATAATATGAGTAGTATATAAAAAGAATAGTGAAATATTTTGCAATGATTTATATTCACATATTTTATCTGAAAAAAATTTCATTGAAAACCATAACACATTCATACATTAGATTATTCAAACAGAAGAAAAAGGTCGTGGAATAATTGCTACTCGATCATTTCATGAAGGAGAATTTGTTGTGGAATATGCAGGAGATTTGATATCTGAAAAGATAGCAAAACAACGTGAAATAGAATATAAACGTGATCCATCTATCGGATCTTATATGTTCTTCTTTGTATACTTGTGAGTTATATCTTCTTATTGTTTAAATCAATAATTGATTGATATCATTCGATTGATTTTATTGTTCCCTTTATTATTATAACCTTTTTATGGTTTTTATATCCTGAGATTCATCTAGCAGAATGTTTTTCGACATTTTGAGTAGGATAAGAGGAGTGATTACGATGAATTTTTGCAGTGGTTTATATCAAACTATTTATCAATTTATTGATTCGAGTCTCGAAAGAGTAGGCTAACATTTATCGCCTCCAATGTTAACCATTGGATACTATGGAGTGAATTAAATCAGATATATAATATGGTGATAAGAAGAGAATTATAGACTAATTGTTCACCTAGCAACAATAATGAAGATAGTTGATCAATTAATTTTATCTTATATCGTATCCTAGAATGAAACAGTATTATCAATAAGGATCGTATCACTATGAATATCATTGTTCCTAGTGGAACATGTCACTCTCGACTTAGATGCCCAACTCATCATTTCCCCTTCGGATTACATTCGATGACCTGGCCTGACACGTGATGTCTCCAGTCGGCCTTCTCAGTGTATCCCCAATCCATCTCCACTTTCTTACTCTGCATACACGTTGGGCAATAGGTTGTTGGTTGGTTCGTTGGCAAGCCAAAGTTCCTTGTTGCTTATTCTTATGATTCTGGCCATCTGAACTTCAGTATCGAGTGAGTGTAGGTGGCAGCCGTTGATAAATGTCTGTAGTTTGTTGGAAATGCTTTTCTTGACACTACAAGTTTCTCAATCCTATAGCAGTACTGACTTGACTGACGTTGGTGTTGAAAATCCGGATATTGTTCATGCTTTATGCTGAGTGCAGTAGATCTCCACACTGGTTTCAGGTTAATGAACGCCTGTCTTGCTGTCTTTCCGATCTTGGCTACCTTTGACATCCTCATCTGTGATACCACTGTCGCCTGTAGTTGAGACGATGCTGCTTAGATAGGTGAAAGAGTCTACTTCCTTTAAGTTTCTCCCGTTGATGGTGATTGGTGCTTGTTGTGGGTCTTTTCATCGGTCCAGTCAGCATATGCCCATCTTCTCGCTTCTCATGGTTTGCTGCATGATGCAGTCGGTCATAAATGTGGAAGTCATAGGATACTAGAAAACTTCTCAACAAGTTTTTTTTTACTTGTTAAATAAGAGAAAGAATACCGAAACATTATTTTAGTAATTTTATTTTCTATTATCATATATAGAGGTCAAAAATATTGTGTAGATGCAACTAAAGAAACTCCACGTCTTGGTCGACTTATCAATCATAGTCGATTAAAACCGAATTGTATTGTCAAAGTGATACCTGTGGATGGTATTCCCGTCTAGCATTATTTGCACGTAAACCAATTTCACCTGGTAAGTTGTTGAAATTATCTTTCATAAATTATTTTAATCATAAGGTATTTATTGATGAATCAATTATTAGAGAAAATTCTTTTTCTCCTAGATATTATGTTCATGTGTACTAGATATTATGTATGCTTCTAATTAAGCCGCTAACTTATTAACTGTATACCACCGACTTCAAAACTTTAGATGAAAATAAAGAGAGAATGAAAATAGATCTGCTTGGTAGAGTTGATTGCTTTCGAAAAGACTGGAAATCATCCGATACATGTGTCTGTATATATATGTACGATATGTGACCTTGTCCAGAATTTGGAACATTAGTATATTAAAAGGACAACATCAACCAATCAGCGAATTACCTTGAGAAAGGTCAGATAACATGAACTGGCGTAAAAAAAGGCGCGAAAATGACAATTTAAAAACGTTTAGATAAATAAATAGTTTTCTTTTTACAAATATGACCCTTCTTATCAATAGTTTACCATTGTATACACTGCTAGGGATTGAATGGAATGGGGTTCGAACTACAAAACTCTTAAGCTGAATTATCGAGTAGTCAATACTTATATTTAGTGTATCCTTATTTTAAGCATTAGCATTTCTTGAAGACTGGATTATGTAATAAACCGTGTGGAGTGAGAAGACGGAGGTACTATGGACCGGGTAAAAGATCCTAGAAGATTTGGATTTTGCCGATGACTTCGTGTATAATGTCTTGTTGCACAAAGTCGATGATGTACGGATCTCAAAAACTTACAGATTGACAGAAGAAGCACCAAAAATGGGACTTCAAGTGAATGTAGAGAAGACAGAGGTGATGAAGATACCCAACCAATGCCACAAACAACAACAACAAGCTCCAATCACCATCAGTGGGAGAAACTTAAAGGATGTAGTCCCTTTCACTTATCTAGGCAGCATCCTTTCAAATACGGGCGGTGGCGGCACAGACGAGGACATCAAACCCAACCAGCATCGGGAAAGCAAAACAGGCTTTCATTAACCTGAAACCTGTGTAGAGATCTTCTGCACTCCACTCAGCATAAAGCATCAACAACATCCGCATTTTCAACACCAACACCAGTCAAGTCAGTGCTCCTATGTGATGCTTGAGAGAGTTGGCGGCGCGTTACCAAAGGGATTTCCAACAGACTACAGATACTCATCAACAGCTGCCGCCTACGCTGTCTCCTTACTGAAGATCGATGAGATGGCCAGAATGATAAGAATAAGCAACAAGGTAGTCACTCTGGCTGGCTGGCTGGCTGGCTGGCTGGCTGGCTGGCTGGCTGGCTGGCTGGCTGGCTGGCTGGCTGGCTGGCTGGCTGGCTGGCTGGCTGGCTGGCTGGCTGGCTGGCTGGCTGGCTGGCTGGCTGGCTGGCTGGCTGGCTGGCAACGAACCAACCAACAACCTATCACTCAACAAAAATGCAGAATGAAGTGTAGATGGATTGGATTGGGCATGCACTGAGAAGACCATTTGGGGACATCATGTGCCAGACCAGGTAGTCGAGTGGAACGCAGATGGGAAACGACGAGTTGGGTGTCCGATGTGAGGGTGACATGGAGGAGGAGATGTTACAAGGAAGAAGTGAGAGCTTTTGGGCTGTCATGGAGCGAGGTGGAAAAGATTTCAGAGGAGAGAGTGTAATGGAGACGTGCTACTGAAGCCCTATGTTCCATTAGGAACCCAAAGGAAAAATAACCATAATTTCTCGATGCTGTGTTTTAATGTACATTAGTCAGGAGATGTTGATAGTCGTAATACAGTAGTAATTTCCACTGGTGACGAAAGTCTTACCATCGTCATCATCATCAAGATGAACATAGGACTGGGTATTACTGCTTAACGGTTCAAGTTGCCAAATCTCATCTCATATCATCACATCATGTGACAAGGCAATAAAATGAGAAATAAGGAAACAAATAAAAATCCGTCAAATGAAGTTTAAAGTACTAAAAGAAAAGAAGAGGGAATGCGAGGAAGATGAGATTAAGCATAGTGGTTAGGATGAGGATGACATCGTTCTCAGCCGTGTCATCACCTAGAGTCTCCAACCACTGCCTTGAGGCTCATCCAGCCTGAACCTGCTTAAGCCAACATTGTGTTATGAGGCAGACGGTGGTCTCAGCCACCCAGTCGCATGAACTGACTTACCTCTTCTGCCTTAGACTCTACACCTGACCTCTGTGTTACTCACGTGGAGATACCACGTGATCAAAGTTTACCGATGTAGAAACGAGATGTAATGAGTAAGCAGAGTGTATACTATAGTTTGAGCCTTATTAGGTTTCTATTTTCAAAGTAGTATTTATGGTGAACGCGTTCACCGTGATATCTGAAAGTTCGAAGTTTGATCGCTGGCAGTTTCGTGGGTGTGTACTGCTGAGGAGTCCCATACTTGGACGAAACAGCCGTCTAGTGCTTCCATGTGTTCAGTAGTTCGCCAAGAGTGACCTATGATTGATGTATACCTCTTCTTAAGAAGCCAATCAGGGCTACCTTCTTATCACCTTGCAACATCTAGCGGTGAAGATTACTCAAGTCCTATGGACTCGGTCGCTACATGGAGGTCATCCCGTTAGTGACCAATTCGTGTGTGTATGTGGGGGACTGTCTGGTTTCTGTCACTGAGGCTAATCTAGTGAATGAATGGTAATACATTTTCTACACTCTACCCATTCTATTTTAGTAGTTATCCTCTACTCGTGTCAGTTAGTAAGATGTATTACGCAATTTTTGATTGTAATTTAATGGATGGAGGCAACCGGCAAGAAATCCTGGGCTTACCAGTTAGATGTATTTGTAACTTTGGTGGAACGGACGTCTCACCTGAAATTGGAACCCCGGGTAACCCAGTACTCTAGTCAACAACGTTACGATTAAGGTATTGGGGCCGCGATTGCAGTCTTTGATTGTATTGTTTCCCACAGACAGATCACTCATTGAGGTCTGAAATTTTCTCCTGAAGTTCTGTCATCATATATTCCATGAATACAGTTTTCGATTACGAAATGAAATATTGATTTGAAACAGCAAAATAAGAATTCTGGTTAGTTGTTTGGAATGGCTTGGAATTCTTCAATAGCTCAGTTTTTTTGTAGTCAGTGTAGTCAGTTGTCAAATCAATGATAACACTGCTCTTTCTCTGCGTCAAGCTGTCGCCCCCCCCCCCTGCTGATTATATGTTTAAACTCATCCTACTCCAAGATAATTTCTATAACTTGGAAGTTGAATTAAGTCAGTTGGCAACGAAATCTCTGCATGGATAAAACAAAAGGTGTTGGATTGGATTTCAACAACATACTCCATCTGTGGCACCGCCTCGTTGCCTTATAATCTATTAAGGGTCAAATATACTATACCGTAGTCCGTTCTACTCTATGGCTGTGAAACATAACCATAAAGGGTAGAAGAAATTAGAAAGCTTTAGGTGTTTGACTACGGTTGCTTTCTTAACATAAGCTGTGTTTCGTGATGTCATCATATGAGTTATACAGAAGTCAGTTCCAAAGTTTTGGGCAGGCGAGGAATAAAAGTCATTTGATGCGATTGTGAACCCCCATCGACTCAGATAGTTGGGATATGTCTAGTCCACTGTCTGCCTTGTCGTCTAGTGTCGTCTAACATAGTTTCAGGCTGTAAAAAAGCTTGGAATTGCCTGATTAAAACATGGAATCATTGCATGAAGTTGTTGACTGTTAGTTTAAGCCATGTCGAGCGATGCAGACTAACCGGTTGGAGTGTACGAGATTAAAGAAACCAGTGGTTGGGGACTTTAGGTGATGACATGACTCAGAATCGATGTCATTAGTGCAGATGTATCTCATTATCTCCCCATTCTTCCTTCCTCTCTTCTACTACTTTCTACTTCCACTGACCGACTTTTTTTCCCTGCTTCTTTTTACATCTTATTGTCATGTTACTTGATGTGCTGACATGAGGTGTGGTGCGGCAACTCAAAGCGTTACGCATTAATGCATAGTCCAGATTATGTTGTATCACATCGTACACATCTCGTCCTTGAGACTTCCTTATAACTAAGCTATGATTAACATTTCACTGTATTAGTGGAGAATATTTGTAGCTCAGGTGGATGATCTTGGTTGTATTGTGTTCTCTGAGCTGGATTATTCAGTCCTGGGGCTTTCATCATCTTGCTAGACGACATTATCAGCACTAACTTCGGTATGAAGTGAGTTGTTACTATCTCTCTGTGAGTGTTTTAGTAGCTTGCCTTGACGAAGTGGTCTGTGATTGATTGTTTCCTTTGATTGTTGTGTCGTTGACTGACTCTACAGATTTTCCTCTTAGCTATTCCTCTGCTTGACCTCTGACCTTTCTGTCATGTATCATTTTTCTCACTGGTTGATAGATTCAGTCTATGTCTATACATCTAATGATTGTTGACTGACCTGAATGCCAAGCTTCTAGGAATTCCCTGATTTCATTGTATTCCATAACTCTCCAATTCACACTGAGCTGAAAGTATATTCTATGCATAAACAGGTTCATTATGTGTATTTCTTCACTCGATTAGTTTGATTGGGTTGGTAGGGAGCTCAGGGTGGCTGAATGAAGACGTGTCATCAGTCGGTAAAGTCCCTGACTATTGGTGTGATCCATGTGTGTGTGTGTGTGGGGGGGGGGGGGGGGGTTGTAGACCACCTGCCTGGGATCTCCGACACCATAAGAATCAATGGTTGAGGAGTCTTGCTGACATAGCGGAAATCCGGTGACAACGGCATAGATGTATTCACACTTTAACATTTTCTGAACCTGGAATACTGTTGTCTTCAAATAGTTTCTTTTCTTACGCACATCTATTTTTGCTTTGATATCATTCGTTTGCTGTTGTTATAGTAAAGTGTAATAACTTGAGAGGAATACAGTTGTGTCTAAGGTTCTACTTTGATTTGTATATCTGTGCCCCTTATCTTTCATCTTCTTTCTTTGAATCTGGATCTGTGCCCACTTAAATTATTCTATGAGAATATTAGGTTGTATAGTTTCTATTGTTTGATTAATCTTACTGATCAACTTCAGTTATAGGCATAAAATGTAAGTCGTTATATCTATAGAGAATATGGATTATATCGTAGACTTTCGATGATCCAAGGAAAAATTACTTTTGTTAAAGTTTCATCTAATTATAAAGTGATCATGATGAAAATTATCCATTCCAAATTACTTTGCTAATTTATCTTTTGTATAAAAGGTTACCAACTTGTTTAAGTTGTAGGATTGCGTCATATTGCAGACACATACACACACACACACACAATTGTATCACTGTAAGGTGCCATACCTCACATTAGTAAAGAAAGAACTTGTGGATAGAATAAGACTGATATCAAAGTAGACGACATTATACCACGACTGCCCACAAGCATTCATTTCTTCCTTACACAATCTCCTCCATGTCATCCTCACCTCAGATGCCTAACTGGTTGTTTCTCATTTGAATTCCACTCGACGCCGTGAACTGGTGCATGATGTCCCCAATCGGCTTTCTCAGTGTATACCCAATCCATCTCCACTTTCTTATTCTGCATATACGTTGGGCAATAGGTTGTTGATTGGTTCGTTGACAAGCTAAAGTTCCTTGTTGCTTATCCTTATGATTCTGGCTATCTGAACTTCAGTATCGAGTGAGCGTAGGCGGCAGATGTTGATGAATGTCTGTAGTTTGTTGAAAGTGTTTTTCGTGACACGCCAAGTTTCTGAACCATCACATAGAATCACTGATCATGTTCATGCTTTATGCTGAGTCCAGCAGATCATCATATTGATCTCAGGTTAATGAACGCCTGTCTTGCTTTTACGATCCTGATTTTGACATCCTCGTCTATGCCGCCTGTAGTTAAGAGGATACTGTCTTGCCTAGGTAGGTGAACAAGAAAACTTGCTTTAGGTTTCTCCCGTTGATGATGATCTGTTACCAAGAATCGTCAACCCTTAATTCTTTTCGTCTCGAAGATCCTAGCCAATTAGGTTACACCTCTACCATATGACTCAAACAGACATTTAGAGACTTTACAGAATTCGGCGATGTTTTAGTTTCACCACTCTGAACCTCCCTCCATCCTAATTAAACTAGTAAAGTGACCAGACAAATAGACAGACATGAATAACCTGTCTATGCTTACCTTATACTGGAGATTTATTCAACCGCAATGAAATGTTATTCATAACTTAGTTATCGGTATGTTTGTATCGATGTGGAAATGTCATATTGAAATGTTACTCATAATAATCTACTTTATTCATGGACTGACATCAGTTGGGGAACCATTGGAAATCTGGGAGCACTGAACAGCAGCTGTTTCGTCCTAGTATGGGACTCTTCAGCAGTGCACATCCATGACCCCGCCAGGGATCGAACTCAAGACGTTCAGGTTTCACGGCGAACGCATTAATCATTCAGCCACTGGGTCGGTTTCCGGTGGTTCACAATTCCCAACTTCTGTCAATTTACAAAATAGCGTGACTATCACCGAAGGTCTTAAGTTAGCATCCACTTCACTTCCGATTGGTTGACCCCACACGTCACGACTTCTCATTAGAGCTTCATGATATCCATGTGGAAGCAAGTCGGTAATGTGCACTATACAGTAATGTATTTTTGAGATAAATAGGGATTTTTCAATTTAGAAGTAGTATTTATCATGGGCTGACTGCTGAGGAGATCTACACTAGGACGAAACAGCTGCTGTCCAGTGCTCCAAGATTAGTGATGGTTCCCCAACTGATGTCAGTCCATGATGCATACTACTTCTAAATTTCAAATTGCGTTATCATAAACACTTAAGTAATGTAAAGAATATTGACGGAAACGAGAACATTTCACATTGTTAATTGAATGATTGAAATGAGATTGTGAACTGTTACGAGTTGTCGAGTGAGTTCTGTCCTAACATCCCTTTTATCCTCTTATATTATGCGTGCTAGGTAAGGTAGGCGCAGTCGAATTCGTATACTTGGCTGTATGAGCGTACACTCCGATGGAGTTTCATCTTGTCCTCGCTGAGAGAAGATACCAATGGCGAGAATTGTGAATAATGAAGTGGATGCTGACTGTACCTAGTTGCTTGTTCCTAGTTGTCACACCTCATGTCACTACATCAAGTAAACAAGTCAGGGTAGAAAAGAAAATTCAGTCAGAAGAAATATAAAGTACTAAAAGAGAGAGAAAGGAGGGATCAGAAATGCTGAGATTCGGTATAGCGTCATTAAGATATGGATGATGTGTGTGGGCATACATCTGCACCACTAACATCGGTTCTCAACCATGTCTCCAACCACTAGTGGTTTCCATTGTCCCACGGACCCCAACTGGTTAGTCTGCATCGCCCCACATGGCTCAAGCCTACAGTCAGAGACTTCATACACTGATGCCATGTTTTAGTCTGACCGAGAACCGAGAGCTTTTTTCCAGCCTGAACCTATTTCTGCCAACATTTTGTGACGAGGCAGTTGGTGACTAGGCATACGTAACACATGTCCCAGTCAGTCATCTCAGTCGATGAAGGTTCACAATGGTGTCAACTGACTTATGGTGACACCACGGAATACGGCGACCTATACTACGAAGGCAACGGCGGTCAAGCACCTAAAGCCTTCTCATGTTTTCTACCTTCAATGGACATGTTTCACTGCCATACAATAGAACAGAGTGGATTGTTGTGCAGTACACACGACCCTTAATAGACAATCAGATATCATGGTGACAACACAGATGATGGCATAAGTCGGCAATAGCCAGCCGAGTCAAGATGGATCACGCTTATTACATTCTCCATTACAGAGTCATCTACAAGACAAGTATCATGAGATTGAAGTAATATACTGACGTCAAAGTAATCCAATTTTTCTCAAAAACTGTTATTATATAAAATAATTAATTATTACCCAATTATTTGTTTTTTCTCTTCCAGGTGAAGAGCTGTTATACGATTATGGCGATCGTGATAAAGAAAGTCTACAAGCACATCCATGGTTAAAGACGTAGCCAATCTCTATGTTTCGTATATACAAAGATGCCAGAACCGATCATGAAGATACCGCTGACGATGATGTATAAATGTAAACAATAGAAGAACCTTAATAGTTTCAAACAGTACCAATATGGTTTCTGGTTCATCTGTTTAGTGATTGCACACCTACTCTATGTTCATTTTTTTTTAGATGATGTAAAACCGTGAGTATTTTGCTTCTAGTTACCTTTACGTTGACTTCAGTGTTAAGAGTTCCATCTTCACTGTTTCTCTTTGTGTGTATTTGTCTCCTCTTCTCTTCGCCGACTCCAGTGTTTCTTGTTTCAACACATTTCTTTGGAATGTCTGTTTTCGTAATTCCATTCCAGTTATATAGTTGTGTTCTATTGTTACTGATGTTCAATGCATATTTTTTTATTCATATAATGCACCTGTGTGTGTGTGTGTATGACCTTTGAATTGGAAAACAACCAATAGGCGGGAACTACAGGTGTTATCGGCGTTGCTGATTAGAACAAATATAAGTAGTATATGTTGAGAGGGTAGCACAATGGGTAAGGATTCTGCACTCGTTGTTTTCCTGCATGATGAACGACCCGTACTTGGTCGCCACTGTTCCTGTTCTCGTGTTGATGACTGCACCCACTTCTCTCAAAAAATCAGCACCTAGGTTTGTCCGTTGTAGCCGCGTGGTTATAATCGATGGGAATCTAATTTTCCGATCGACACAATCTGATAAGCCTGCGATTTCTAACGCATGCTCCCCAACCCTGCGGACCATTAGCACATATGGCCTTATGTTCTAAGACTGACTGTTATCTATCAGCGAGACTGCGCCCCCCCCCCTCCCCAAACATATTGGAGCCTTCAATATCCACACCCTCCGTCAAATCGGTCAAAAGGCTTCGTTGGCAAAAACTCTAGCAACTCGGGCCATGGATGTGTGCTGTGTTTGTAAGACACGCATACAGGACCCAAGTTTGGTTATTCACCTGACCGCTCTCGACCAATCTGGTGAGTCCGCAAAATTCGCCCTTCGAGTCTCCGGAGATTCGATGGCTAGCTCTCGTGGTGTTGCAGGTGCAGACAGAGCACTAAGCACTAGGGCAGAAAACTCACTGCTAGACTGGATCCCAGTTGATAGTCGCCTCTGCGCTATGAGGCTGAACGGCACAGTAAGAGCTAAAAGGAATAGTGAGACTCGCCGTTGTCTCTTTTGAATCTCTGCTTACGCACCCACTGACTGTAGTTTGGATGAATTGAAGGTCGAGTTCTACCGTAAACTGTCTAGCCTCCTCTCGGAAGCCGAAAATTCCGACGTAGTGGTTGTTGCAGGTGACCTCAACGCACAGGTGGGCAGACTGAGTGAGGCAGAAAGGCACTTTCGGAGTCTCGCCTGAACGTACGGATAACGATGATCACCTACTCCAACTGTATTCAAATAACCGCCTATTTTTATCTAGCACAGATTTCAGACATAAACAGAGACACTGTCTGGCGTGGCGTCCACCGTGCTCAACTCAGCGATGGATACAAATAGACCACATTGCTATTAGTCACCGCTGGAGAGGATCAGTGGAAGACTGGATAGTGACCACGCATTGGTCCAAGTGCCTATATACCTGCGTCTCAATAGACGTAAGAAAAACTTGGTAACAAAACCACTACGAGTGCTGCTGGACAACGAAAACACCGAAACCGTGTTCAGTGAGAAGTTGGCTAGACCGTTATCGGAACAAACGACTATCACTCATCCAGAAGAAGCTTGGTGCCATCTCCAGTCCGCTGTAAGAGCAGCGCTGAAGACCGTAGACGACTCTGAAAGAGTAGCTAAAAAGAGCCAGTGGATATCAGCAGCTTCTTCCGAACTATTGGATGCGCGTGAACGCATCCCTGCAGGCTCTGAGTACAATGAAAAGGGAGCACAACTTGAAAGTAGATTGAGAAAAAGTCTACGCAACGACCGCGAGAAGTGGTGGGTAGCGAAGGCTAAAGAGATGGAAAAGGCAGCGGCGATCGGTAATAGTAGACAGTTATTTAAACTTATTAAGAAGACTGGGGGGAAAAGATCAACAACAGTTAGTGAGGCTATAGCAGAGAAGGATGGATCTGCCATTCACTCGCAGAGGAGACGACTGGAACGATGGGCAGAACACTTCAAGGAACAGTTTAACTGGCCTCCAGCCACCATTGCTTTGCCCGCTATCCAGCCGGATAGTGAATGGAACATTGAGATAGGTTCCCCATCACTAGGAGAAGTCGAGAAAGCAGTAGGTAGCCTGAAACGAGGAAGGGCAGCAGGACCAGACAGACTAACTTCAGAGGTATACAAGGATGGTGGTAAAGTGCTCTTAGTCAGGTTAACGGATGTATTAACTAGTATATGAGAATCAGATACGATCCCCTCTGACTGGTCTAAATCACTGATTATCCCAGTCTTCAAGAAAGGCGAGAAGTCCTCTTGTGATAACCGCAGAGGAATCAGCCTGCGAACATAGTATCCAAAATCCTAGGTTCTATAATTCTCCGACGCCAGAGTGGAGCTCGGGAACACCAAGCCCGAGAAAACCAGGTTGGATTTAGACCCAGCCGCGAGTGTATCGACCAAATATTCACACTGAGCCAGGTTCTGGAACAAGGACACGCTTACCGATGCCCGACAATAGTTGTATTTCTCGACCTGAAGGCGGCATTCGACTCCGTTGATTGAGAGGTCTTATGGCAATGTCTCTCACCGAAAGGCGTGCCTAGTAAGCACATCACTTTATTGAAGACTCTCTACTCGAACACTTGTGGGCATGTTAGAGCCTATGGTGAGATGTCCAGGGAGCTGTGCTCATCCAGTGGTGTCCGTCAAGGCTACTCACTGTCTCCATTCTTATCCAGTTTCATCACCGATATTCTTAGGGAAGTCTCTCGTCACCAGGTTACAAAAGCGTTGACGCAACTGCAGGAGAATTTTCGTTAGACCTAGAATATGCAGATGACATAGTCCTGTTAAATGAAGACGCTGACAAGATGCAGAGTCTTGTAAACACTTTGAGTGTCAATTTGAGAATGATCCCATATGCAGACATACACGCCCTCAAACCAACGCGTAGTAACTGTCCTGACTAGTGTTCCTGAAGGAGTGGAATCTCGAAATCGAGCCACTCCAGTGATGACTGATAGCACTGTGGTCCATTTCTGTCCACTGAGGAGTTGCGTAGTGTCTCTCATTATGGCTGGAGTTTGTGCTGGTCAGAAGTTGGTGGTTGTTTGAGCACGTCATATTAGGCGATCATCATTATCTGTTTGTTCAGCTGGTTGAGATTCTGAAACTGCCACTGAAATGCCTTTTGTGTCTGACCTGGCCTACCCACCTGTTCACTGAAATCACCAACAATAACAACTATGTATAGAGATTTTGCTCTCAGTAGGAGGTTAGACAGTTTTCAGTAGAACTAATCCTTTACTTCTTCTGAACTGCAGTCAGTGGGCACGTAAGCAGAGATTATGATGAGACAATGACGCTTCTTACTGTTCTTTTTAGTCCTTACTGTGCTGTTCAGTCGAACAGTGTACAGAGAACTGTCGGCTGGGATCTAGTTGAGCAGTGGACTTCCTGTCTCACATCCTAATGCTGTACCTACACCTGTCATTCAATCTCCAAATAACTCGAATTCGCCATACTCTCCGAGTGAGGTTAAGCGAATAACTACACTTGAACACTGGATGTGTGTTTCACAAACACAGCACACTTCTAAGGTTTGAGATGCTAGTTTCAGCTAGCGAAACTTGTTGGCTGATTAGACGGAGGGTGAGGACGTTGAAAGTGCCAAGTGGTAGTTTGAAGCGCGGTTTCAGGAGGCCAGTGATGCTCTTCCATGGACTCATATTAGTGTCGAGGGCTGCAGAACTGAGAGAAGGTCAATAATCTTAAGGAAGTAGAGTGCTGACAAAGTTGTGAGGGCGGTTGACACGTCCCAGTTATCCACATCATGACAGTCTATTTCTTCTTCAGGTACCTGAAATGGAAGGGTTAGTGCGTGACAACAGAGCCATGGGATATCTGCTCGAAACCGATCACGTAAGACATTTTAGTAAGTTCGAGAGTTCGGTTTTTCGCTTTCGAATTCGACTATGAACAAATGTCGCAGGGATCCATATGCCGTGGGGTGATGGGAATATGTGATTTCTGAGCCTGATGTTTTCTAACCTGCCCTCTTCCTATAGGAAAGATATCATCAGTGTTGCGCTTGTGACCATCCACGGAAAACATCTTCCTGCTGCCACACTCCCGTTCAACCAGCAGTACGACTTCGCCCTCAGACCACATCATGGTCAAGGGATTTACACGATAATGGTAACTGTCTTTTTGTTTCACCACTGTTCAACAGACCCTTCTGGTATGGCAGGTTCTCAAGTGAGGAAGCGTTCCGGTCAACATAGTTTACTGTGGCATACAAGCTCGTTCACCACGTCAAGGTAGAGACTATCGGTTATAAGCTAGGAATGCAACAGTGGATGAAAGCCTTAAACCTTCTTATACCTCCTACAATTATTGACCAATCGTTACACAAATTTAACTAAGGAACCTTCAGTAGCATGCACTGTGTGTATACACTCCTTCAATTGCTACACATTGCTACAATAATCAGTGCGAAAGCCAATATGACAGTATTTGCAAATGATATCCAAACCAAATAAGCTAATTTTACCAGGGTGATAACACTCGTTCCTTAGGGATCTATCTATCTCATTTCTCACCACAACATTGAACATGAAAAGTAGTCAAATGTTGCCGTTGGATACGAGCAAGCATACGGAAACACAAATCATCACAAAGTGACTAGGACTTTCCAGTCAGGAGAGGTCAGATCTCACAAATATATAGCAGATCTCCTCACATGGAACTAAAGTACACTGGAGAATTTACAATTAGTCTAACCTTGAAAGTAAAACATCTCTCCACACGGCTCGGAACAACAGTTAGAAACTTCATCGACTGGTATCACGTCTTCGTCTCGCCACCCTGAACCCTCTTCCAAACTAATCCAGCTTGCCGTAATATGGGACGTCAAGGTAGCTAGGTGGTAGATAGGCATAAGTAGTACATGTCCAAACCATCTCAGTAGATGAAGGTTCACAAATTCATCATTCGACTCGCCTGTCTTGTCTATCACCCTACACCTGACTTCAACATTGCTCACACGGTGATTCCACCAAACGTGAGCAATCCTACGAAAACACCTACAACCAATAATACCATATAATCGCTTCGTGTCTTGTACACTTAACAATCATATCTCACAGTCATACAATAGGACAGAACGGACTGCAGTGCAGTATCGCCGTCCTATGATAGATATTTGAATATCTCACCATTGGGTGCCACAAGTTGCGAAATGCCAATAGGGCTTTGTCATCGAGAGTCTCCAGCCACTGTTCCAAATGGTGTCGTG